GAAACCATTAACATAAATATATAAAGAAATATATAGCAACTCTTCTGTAATGTTCACTGAATATATAATTTTTATTTGTAAAGTAATATAATTTTCTAGCAAGCATCCATATACCATAAGGAACTCCGTGGATGTCAATTCCTCTGGCAGCTACATCAGTGCAGATCAACAGCCTCACTTCTTTTCTCTGAGAACACAAACAATCCTCAAAAACACTGACTGGTTGCACTTTGTTAACCTCCTAGGACCTGACGTCCACATATGTGGACATCACATTTTGGGTTATTTAGACCAAAATAATCAATTTTGCTCTACAAGAGCCTGATATCCACTTACGAGGACTTTATACTGCTACTGTTCTATCAAAATTTTAAACGAATATCCTCATATGTGGCTCTGATTTTTCTTAAAAACCAAAATAAGGTAAAACAAAAAAATCTGGTAATTCTTTGTTTTTATGCCCCAATATGCCCAAATATCAAAGAGAAATTAAAAATGCATGCCGTGGAAGAGTTCGGGTCTTAGGAGGTTAAACAGCATAAGCAGGTTATGATTTTTGCTTTGTTTTGCTTTTTTTGTTATTTTACCTTGAAGCGCTCCAGGTTATTTTTCCGCTCATTAGGCTTACGATCGCCATGGAGGCAAACACAGGACAACTGGTGACCTTTGCTATTTGGACCTGAAGAAGACACACATGAACTCAGCCATTTGTAACTGGGGGAAAAAGACCAAGTATTCATATTTAACTGTCTTTTTTCACTTTCTAAACTTCTGTAGTGGCTCAAACAAAAACATCTAAATTGTTCCAACACAGCCTACCTCCTCCTTGCTGAATGAAGTACTGCTCCATGTTGTCACAGTCAATTTTGGTACGACAGAAGATTATAGCCTGGTCCATTTTGTGTTCTTTAATGGCTCTCACCGTGTACTCGCCCTTCAGGATCTTGATGGCCTCTGACCACATTTCTGACTCACAAAAAGACACACACACACCTTTACTGAAGTTCATATTAAGGTAAGTGTTATCTGTGTTGTTTATGTGATGTGTATACTGACTGGAGTGAATGGACAACAATGATATTTTACACTTTCTATCAGGGTGATGAAGATGAGTGGTCTGAACTTTGCTGCCCAACTGCACCTACCTGCAGTATTGGCTCCTGGTCTGGTGTTATCATTTGAATGAACTTCATCAGTCTACCCAGAGAAACAGAGGAAACAGCTAAATCACCACAACTCTAAACTAAGACAAAGACATGATAACAACATACATAGTGTAGAATAAAAAGGTGATTATTCCTCCACCCAAGTCTGAAACACAGCCGAATTGCTTAACTTGATGTTTCAGTACTTTTCTGTTTATTCGGTTTCCTTCCCCGAGCACGAGGAACTCACCCGGATGTGGTTCTTGCCGAGGCGCTCCCACAGATGGTCGCTCTTCGGATTGACGGGCACCACTATGTGGTGGACAGTCTCCGGAACAGAGTCCTCCCCCTTCAGATCCACCCAGGTGGGAAAGTGCATGATGCGTTCGGATAACTTCTTCACATCGAATGAATGCAGTGTCGCTGAGCATACAATGACCTGGAAAATAAAGAGATCGTCACCTAAACTACTAATGCCAGCAAACATCCTTCTACTACAACATCTATCATAGTACACAGGTTTAATTTCACACATGTAATTTATGCTCAGCATTACCTGCAGTCTCTTGCCATCAGAGGTGACCTGGGGGATTTGATTATGGATCCTGTTGATGAAGTCTGTATAACCTGCTGACAGGAGGCCGTCCTGAGATACACAAAAGACACAAAATAGTTAAGGGATTTTATGCTATATTATATATATCAACCATAAAAACCCCCAAAACAAAACATATGTGTAATCTATAAAAAAACAAAAAGAATTCACATACACACTCATCCAGCACCAGAAAGCGGACTTCGGACAAACTCAGTTTCCCAGTGGAAATGAGGTCATCCAATCTACCAGGTGTTCCCACCACAATGTCAATCTAATTATAAGATGACACCAGGAAAAAAAGAGGAAAAATGACATCCAATTAAAAAACATATTTCAACAATTTGATTTACAGTAATTAAAACTACCGGTAAGTCAACGTTTTTTGTTTTTTTGGGGATGGGAGTAGGCGTAACTGTACGTGTCACATACCCCCTGTTCCAGAGCAGCCAGCTGGTCTTTGGCAGTCACACCACCAATCACCAGCAGCTCCCTGCAATGACAGACTGACAAATTACCAAAATAGCACGGCTCCATCTGGTGGTGTAAAAACGCAGGCAAATGATGTTTTTAAAGGGATGACAGAATAATCTGGATTGTTACTACAAATGCATTTTTATTTCTTTTTTTAAGTCGAGGTTTTTTTCAGTTTGTGTCACTCAGTGTCGATACCACCTCCATGGTGTCATACCTGAGTTTGGGATTATCCACATATTTCTTAAACTGCGTGACATTGTTGAGGGTTTGTTCAGCCAGTTCTTTAGACGGCTCAATGATCAGGGCTTTGGGTGAATTTGAGGATGTTTTCACCTGACTCACGTTGGCACTGCCTGCACAATCACAGAAGAAATATTGTACTTGGCATACTCAAATTTGAAAATGTACCTTGTTTTAACACCAGTGAGTGAAAGAAGGCATATACCGTAAAAGGAACAATCTTGTCTTAAGTGCCTGAAATGAGGTTGAAAGCACCCACCTGTCTGAGAAGATTTGACAGCATGACCCTCTGGTGCCTGGTCCAGGGCAACAAATCCACTCTTAGGGGGATGTTTAAAGTCTTCTCCTTCAAAGTTAAACTTTAGCTCTGCATTCTGTAAAACAGAAAAGATGATGGTGTCAGTCAGGCATCAGTTTTATATGTTCTCTGCCATCACTATGTTGTCTTATCCGTCGATACCTTGAGCACACAGGAAGCAAAGAAAGCTTGATTCTTCAGATTTTGAGGGATTTCAAAAGCCACACCCAGGTCGTTACCTGATGAAAAAAAACACAACATAAACCAATTATGAGTTATTTCTCTATTTCTAACAACTTTGAATAGGTTATTTATTTTTTATAATAGAAAAACTGGGACCATACCATTTTTAGAGAATGAAATTTGGCTCTTTTCTAGATCCAGGTAGCATCCAATAGTGTCATGCATGGTAAACTCCTAAAAAAAAAAAAATAGCAAAGAGAACCCATTTAAAAAAATCATTCCCAAATTTCTTTAAACGTGTAAATAATATGATCTTTCATTATCTGTTACCTCCCCATAGCTGTCAAACTGCTTGTTGTTGGATTTCTTTCCAGTCCCACCAAAACCAAACCCATATTTATCAGTTCCTAGAAAGAAAAACAAAGAGTCTGGTGTTAAATTACAGTAGTGCCCTGGTGAAATAAATTGTTTCAAGTGGAGCATTTTCTGCTGCATTAATACTGTAGATGGTAGAAAAGAATACCCAGGTCCAGAGCCGCCTGACTGGTAGACCAACCCACCCGGCACAGGCCCTGGTCATGGCAGGTCACCTCATAGCAGTACTTCCCTAAACAGAAAAACAATATATTATATAATAATATAAGGACTGATAATAATTTACACTTTTATGTTTCTTGATCCATCATACGATTATTTGATTCTCTGATCACTCCGTAAGCACTTGTGTACATCACACACCTTTGGTGACACCTTTAGTGGAGCGACAGCCATGCCACTCTTTGAACTCCCTGCTCTGGCAGCACAGTCCATCTGACCCAATTGCTAAGAAGAAAAACATTAAAAGGCAATGAGCAGATGTTGTTTAAAAAAAATCAAAACAAAAAGCTGGAAAGTGACATTTACATAAACATTGCATGTTTATGATCTGTTCTTACCGAAGGCTGTACTGCGATCATAAGGATTCATCTGCCAGCTGTTGAAAACTGAGACAAAACAAAAGAAGAGCAGGTCAAACACCTGCAGAACACTCTATACTGTCTACCCAACATTAAAAGTCTTAATTTATATGCACACATTTAAGATGGGATATGAATCATGAAGCCTGAAACCAAATAACTGATTAAATATTCTCACTGGCTCCTCCAGTTTTAATAGAGGCTCTGCCCTTTTTGCCCTCCTGCTGATCCTTCAAGGTCTCGTACACAATCTGGATCACAGGGATACTGAAGGCCTGAGGAGGACAATGGGAAACTGTCATGACTCAGTAAGTGTGAACATAAATATATACAGTGTAGACATACAAAGAAAAAAAAAGAAGGCGGCATTTCTCCCAAGTTTGTGTCGCTGTTAAGTACTTACTCCTGTTTTGCCACTGCCAGTTTCCGCAGCCTTAGAAGACAGAAAAGTCAGATGTCAGCCTCGGAGCAGAGTGCAAATATCTGTGAGCCAAATGTGTCCAGAGAACCAAGCTTACCATGAGCACATCTCCTCCACCAAGGATGAGGGGGATGGACTCCGCCTGGATGTCAGTAGGCAACCTGAAAACCGATTATACATTTAGTCAGTTTGATATCAAATATTAAAATGTAAGCATACAACAGCATGCATGATTTTGCAAATTTGTAGCTGGACTCACAGCCAGTCCATCTCTTCCACAGCCTGCGCGATTTCAGGCATTACCCCCATTTCTGTTACATAAAAACACATTAAATGGTTGAGTGGGCTTACGTAGCTTCAAAACGACAGTTGATGTGTAAGCTATTTAAAACCGTAACGTCAAAATTAAGTAGGAATGTAAAAATCTCACCACCAAACGCTGCCATTGCTGCTGCTAGTACAAGTGCAACGCAACCGGATGTGCCGGTCAGCAAATGCTCCCCCTCAACAGCCAAGAAGAAATAGTTCCGGATAGTGAACAAGTTCGTAAAAACAAAGCGGGGGGTTGAGAAAAAATGTCGCTTGTGGACTTGAGATACAAAAGCTAATATTAACATTTATAATAAGCCAAATAAAATCACAAAACCGCTTTTATAGACGGTTAGCAACAGTTCAATTACAAACGCGTTTCTTTATAATTTGTCCCTGCTTGTCGCCGTAGATTTCTGACAGCTGTAAACATGGCCGAAGAAAGCTTAATTGAGGGCGAAGAAGAAAACATTTTATACGATTTACTGGTTATTACTGAATGGCCTCCAGAGACGGACACTCAGGTTGGTAGCTTTCACTTTTGCGGTTTTTTATTCACGGCGTAGCTCTTGTGGTGAGCAGCTATCTGTAGAAATGACCAGCGAAAGACAACCGCCTTGAGTTTCGTGGGGTCAGCCGCCCAGAGCCACGTAGCACAAATACATGATAAGTTGCAGTTGGTTGTCTTGATAAACAAAGTTTCACCTTTCCGTCGCACGTCATACATCACACAGCAGAGCAGCGAGTGCTCATTTAGCACTAGTGTCCTGCATACGTTTCATTTACCTGCAGCTTTTATAATGATCTAAAATCAAAAATCTGCTCTGTCAGAGAAACGACCTATCACTAGGTTTCATTAAAACTCCAGAATGAAATTGGAAAATCAATATCAAAATATGACAATCGCAGCTCATATGTTACTATTTTACATTGCAGTTGCGAGGCAACAAGGAGTACAGCACCTCTCTAATTGCAAAAGCTGTGACAGGTAAGTTCTGATTTTCGTTGCCATGGTGTGATAATATGCATGCATGCATGCATGCATATATTGCATATATACAGCACTTGCCCGAAGCAGTTACATTCTCACATTGATTGTAGCTATTCTAAAATGATCAATAAACTTACCAACAGTCCACCACGCCAATCTTTATATGTATTTTGCTTGATGTTCTTTTATTTATGACACCAGAATACAGTATGGAGGTCATAGAGGCTGGAAGGCATACAATCTTCTTACTGAGATATTAAAGTCCATCCAGCATCTAGTACTGTGCAAAAGTCTTGATTCACGAGTTCATTTTGAGTTAAGTTTCATATTTCATTAGGAAAATG